GTAGGGATGCGAGGTCAATGGTCTAACGACTAGGGCATGCACGATTACGAGTACACCCCCCCCTCCCTCGCTATGGGTCATGCCTGCACAAAACCTTCCCGAGGCAGCGAGGGGAAGAAGGGAGAGTGTACGGGTGCGGCGGAAAAATTGCGAATCGAGTACGCGGAACCGTTCCCTGCGTTCCTGCGATCGTTCCCTTGTTCTTTATAATGTTTCTGTTCGCAATATTTTGCTGAAAAACTACTAAATATATAATGCAATGACAGCAAGAACAGGATGCGTACACAGAGTGCCCACACGCCCACACCATCCCACATCTCCGCAATCTTCACACACCAGTTCTTAGCTCTTCCACGCTAGAAGATCCTGTTGCCAGTAAGCACTGCTTGGTCTGCTGAATACACGCACACCTCTTCATGTCTCGACCGGCGAAACGAGACCCCAACCGCGTGTATCAGCACAACAACCACAACAAGCTTGTAGGTGAGCATCAGCCCCTACACCTGGCACTTTCGACGAGTTCTTCTTCTGCAGCTCGCTCCTGTAAGACAATAAACAAAGGTAAGCTCTACATGTAGACCATGGCTCTTCTTCCGTCGTGACCTCTGTCCATAGTCTATATTCTCGAAGCTGCATCTAGACTATTTAGCTATTTATATATTACCAGGGGTTAACTAAATCCTGCCTGCAGCCAGTCCTGTTTCCACAGACTTGCAATTAAGCCCTGCACGTTACCATGCAGTAGGAACAGCGTTGGACGGAACCCGCTCGATAGTGGTGACGGCAAGGGACCACTTGCTCGTGACTCCATAGGACAGACGGGGAGAGTCGCTACAACAGCAGCGGTCGGTCTGAAATGTTCCCGACCTGCAAGCAAAAGGCATTATTATGGGACGACGTCTGAGGCTGGCACCGATCGGGCAACAGAATCGGCCCACCAACGTCTGACGCACCCGGGCGTATATGTAGGCGGCTCGCTTTATCTGTCCCGTGTGGTTTGAAGTGTGTAAAGACAGCGTCGTATGCATACTGCTGTTGTCGCTCGGATCTGAGGAGGGGAGAGGGCTCTCCTCTCAGCACCGGTCCCTGCCTGGAAAGAGAAGAAAGCAAGGGCGGAAACGCGCGTCGAAAAATATCAGAAATTTCTACAAACACAGCAATCAATCACGTTTATTCTATATTTATTTATTTATTTTTGCCTTCCGACAATTGCAGATGTACCTCAGAAAACTTTCACTTAATGTCTCATACTCTACATGAATATTAAACCAATACGAAGTACAACAACATATGTAGGACTTATTTCTACTGTCATTTACATCGTAAAAGTATCTCCTCTTCAACTTACCAATGACAATCCTGATGGTATCCTATATGCGTTCGTAAGCTTGCTAAAATACTACTGCGTTGATGTCCGCTTGTAAAAGCTGAAATCCAACAAATGCTTTGATCCATGCTACATCTCCGTGTTGGAAAAGCCCTTTCATCTCCGTTCATGATAACATCNAAAAGCCCTTTCATCTCCGTTCATGATAACATCTTACCCTATTCTACGCAAATCTGTCACATCTACTCTCAAACAAGACGTCAACTTCAAACGAAAACGCGTTCTACGATGCGTCTACACTCCATCCCCATATCATTGGCGTTGACTGGTCCGAGGTCGATCTTGTTCGCCTGTTTTCGGCGTCTTGACGCCCGCGCAATGCGAGCTTGTACCTCTGCACTCGCCGAGATATGGCCACCTGTGTAGCCACCGAAACGATCCGAAGAAGTCGTTCCTTGAAGACTCCTTTCAGAGCCATCGTTCCTCCGTCCCTTCCTCCCACGGCATGTGTCGCAAGTTCATCGATGAACTCGTAACCCTCCTCTCCAAGGCGGCCAAAGCTTTCCTTTTTATTATATATTCTTGGACACAGCAGTTGTGTTTTCTTTTGGGTATTCGGGGACGCAATTATATATCCGAGCTTTGATTTTTGTCTCAATCAAGCTCGCGAGCACGAGGGCAATCAAGAAGGCGGTGTGTTCTCTTTGGGACTCACATCATAGATTACTACGTAGGTTGTAGTCTTTACAAATGACAGTAGGCTTGCAAAGGTCAGATTAGCGTCACGTTCGGGTGAAGTTTGTGTGTCCAGTGTCCAAGCAAGCAAGGTTCGCTACTACCCCTACGCTCGGAGACTATCTGCGAACTTGTAGAGTAGAAACGTTCAGACATCTTGAGCGCATGTAGACTAGTGGTTCGGAGAAGCAAGAGGCCCACGCTTGGTGTATCCACGCGCCTCTAACGATGGAACCCACGCCGACCTCTCCTCGTCTCCCCGGCGTCTTCGTGTTATGCAACAAGTAGGCCAGCTTGCCTCTTCGGTCTCTTGGGGCGCACATAGGCTCGCGGATGCTGCTCTTCAAGGCCCGCCGCTCACAAAGCTCCCGAAGCATACCCCCACCGAGCGGCACAACAACGGCCCCAGAGGTGAGAACGACTGGGCCATTTCTCGGAAGAACGACTCGAAGAGGTGGGATGGGTGATAGGTGTTATAGTGTCCCACCCGACCACGACGCTGTCCTCGACTCATATCATGAGACCGATTGGTTTGCTCCCATCTCTCCCCCCGCGATCAACACAACCAACACCGCTGTAATCGAGCAACTTCAGTAGTGTATGAGCATTGTATGAGCGCTGTGTGAGCAATGAGCGCTCCATGAATTTCGTTGGATATGGGTATTTGGCGTCCTCGTGGGGTATTGAAATAGCTCGAAGGAGGATCAAAATCCCAGCCCCGTTCCCGCACTCGCCGAGTGAACGCTGAGCTTGTGAGGCAAGTGCATCTCGTCGCAAATGTGACGAGCGAAAAGCCCGCGAGTGACTGCAGTCATTCGAAGATTGCTTTGCCTGCAGCATGCGTCGCATTCTTGCCAGAATTACAGGAAGCAAGTGCTACAATTGTTAAAATGTACAGCATATCCACATCGCTACAAGTCGGCCGCTGACTTGTAGCATTGTGGATATGCTGTAATTCTTAACAACAATATGTCGAATAGTGGGGGAGATAGTATGAGAACAGAAAGCGAGGGATGGATAGATCCATGCGTCTTTTCTGCCTTGGTTCCCGATGATAACCACACGCACTTAGTTGGAACCCCCTGTCCCAGCTCCTCTTCAGACGATTGTGGCAGCACACTGCCTGGATTCCATCGATCTTCCTCCTTTGATGCTCAAGGTCCCCGAGGATGCTGACTACTTCGAGTTGGCGCAGAAGATCACGGGGGCCCTGCAGTCTTACCGCGACAAGGACGGAGAAGAAGTCTTCGTGAAGCAGGTTGGCTAACTGACATTCTTTTTCCGCCAACGTCTGCATCAACCGCCAACATCTGTATTCTATTGGTTCCTGTCGGTGCCTTCCCTACCCCTCCGACCGCTCGTACTACATGTTGCAGAAACCCTAGCAATCAAGTTCTAGGGTTGGGGCAATTGTCACCGCGGTCCCCAGGCTCGCGGAAACGATAGTCAGGGCTCTGGCTGGCGCTGGTTCAGACTCCCCCGACCAGAGCAGTATTCGTGGTGCTTATATTTTACGCGTACCGTGTAGACTAGGTGCCCAATCTCTCGAACACGATAACGGTATTCGCAAGCCTTGCAATCACGCAGACAACAACCTATGCATACAAACAACCACAAATGTTATACTCCGGGACCGAGGTCGGCTGTGGTGCATATGGGTTAGTTACCTGCCTACTCCAAGTTGTGGTTTTGTCCTGTCACTCCTCGTTCTTCGCACGATACCATACCCTCTGGACAAGATGGTGACACAACGGTCGCATTCTCTTCCGTTTGTTGACTTGTATACAACAGTCTCTGTTTCTATTGTCTTCCCCTCGCTCCTGTCCATCCTAAGCATTGCATTGTCGGCACCACCACACAGCACCCCCCCCACCCGAGCGGGAAAGCTCTCGGAAACGCCCCCCCACTGCGCTACGTCGCGGCATCATCCCCGGACCGGAACGCCACCCCGGCAATAGAACTCTGCCATCCAGAGTGCCCGTTGGGCGCCAACCTTGAGCTGCAGACTAGACCTCTTGCTTGCAATCAAACTTTTACTTACCTCATCATCGACCTCACCCAGCCAACTGTCTCATAAACGGTGCGTCACCGCTGCTGCTGCTGCTGCTGTTGTTGTTGCTGCTGGTGCGGTTTTGGAACAGGTTCTGCACGGCGGGTTCGACCAGAGTTTGGACCGTCCTGAGCTTACACCCAGAGGCTTTTACACTTTCTCGGGGGAACCAGTGCTGTTTCGATTGGGCCCGAAAGTGAGTGCACCCCGTGCGGTACATTATTTTCACTGCACGTTTGGGCTGCAGAGGTCTGTGGAGGCGCACAAAACACATCTTTGTTCCCGGTTTCGACCCCGCGCATTGGTTCTCACTCCAAATACGCAGCGAATTCATTGACCCGCTCTTTGAGTAGATCGTGGCACATCGGTGGTTTTCCTGCCGCCACTGAGAGAGCGGGCCAAGGTGTTTGCATTTGTACGGCTTGATCGGCAGAGGAAAACCAAGTGACTCAGCAAAAAAGAAGACGGGGAAGGTGCTTGTTTATGTATTCCCAGCCATAAAAAAAACATGTGCGCCGTGGCCGTGGTTTGAGTAGCCTGGCGGGCGGATTTGATGCTCTTAGCTGGCCCGAGCCGGTCGATATCGCTGGCGAAAGTCTTTTGGGCGTATGACATCCCCTCGCCCCTTCTGCTGACCCGATACCGTTTGTGACCCCTCCCCCCCCCCCCCCCCCCCCCCCCCCCCCCCCCCCCCCCCCCCCCCCC